CTTTACTAATAACATTTTCCCATTTATCTTTTAATGTCCATGTGGATGGCTGCCATAACTGAATATTTGGTGAATCACATAAAAGAAGTTTATCATCTAGACATGTAGCGGAACATGTGTCGAACGGCAAAATTTTTGGAACTTCCTTAATCTGTATCATGTTCAATGTTAAGCTATCTAACGTATATCCTCCACTACAAGACCATATGAAAAACTGATCAACTGATGAGCACCAACACATATCACGTATCTCATCCATCCAGTCAATTGTTCGTCCGTATGTGCCTGTCAAATCTACTATACATAATTGGTTCATATCATAATACAGAATATTATTATGTGACGCTGTCATCAAACAATCATCACTTATATAAACTGTATTTGTTCGAGAATTTACATCTAGAACTCGATTTAAATCAAACGAAACATCACTTGCGGTTGAACGACCACTTGTTATTTGAAAAACACCATCAAAATCGAGAGTTCGACTGTGAATTTCAATGCTCCTTTGACAATTAAGTTTTAGTAGTTCAGCTGCTTTTAGTTGTTCAATTTCTTGTTCAGATGAACTATTATTTTTTTCCTGCTGTCGTAGCTCTGCATCTAATCGATCATATCGTTTTTTTGACGATGCATTATTTTCATCAATTAATGCTTGAATGTCTAAGCAAGCTTGATCAGCGACTTGTTTCACCCTATTTATCGTTTCCTGCTCCCATTGTCTGATATAGTTGAATGCAATGTTATCGTTATTTGAAGACTCCATATGAAGACGAATAAGTAAAATCTAAATTGAAGGATAGTTAAACGTTCCCAATCCTGAAAAGATTGATTATAATGAACTTACAGACAATTTTTAGAAATATGAGTGAATGTGTTAGAAATAGTGTCGTGATGGCTATACCTAATCAATCAGTGACATTTAGCTTCATCAAGAGCCGTGAGCATTGAGCGGAATTACTACTTCTCAAGAATGCATCAGTAATTATCCTCTGATATACTTAGAAGATCGTCTTTGAATGACTATCATAGCAAAAGGTAACGGAAATCGATAGAAACTATGTCGCACAAAACCTTGGAGAAAATTTTAATTTTATCTTGACTAATTGTGACCACTTTGCCTCTATTCACGCGGTATGCATGTGTGATACACTTGCTTTTCTTATTCGGGACAGAAAAACTCACCTTCACTTGTTTTGTTTTATAAAGAAATCAAAGAATTATTGCTACGTCTAATACATCATACATATGCGACTTGTAATTTGAACTGAAACCTTTTAAGTATTATTTTTATTAAATTTCTTCGCTAACAGGTAGGTACTTCGTCAGTCAAAATCATTCTGAACAGGAAAGAAATAAAAGTGAATGAAATGGGTTTTTTCTGTTCGACGTAAGATAAAATGTGCTACGAGACACATTTACACAACATTAACGAAAGAGAATTGTCACATGTATTCAAGATAAAATTTCTGTTTTCTCCAAGGTTTTGTAGGAAAAATCTTTGATATAATTTTACAGTTTATTGTACTCATTCTGAGCGTCAATCAGTGATACGTACCTTAAAGGAAAAAAGCATAATGAAGTGACTACTTTCAAATAAAACGGAGTTCTATGCTTTGACTGAGACTTCACTTTTGACTGAAAAACAAAGGACTTGCCCATCTCTGACGAAAAGATTTGCAGCAAGCTGGAAATGATCGTCTTTGAATAACAGTGGAGTTGCTGACCCGAAATCAAAAGAGTTTTTTTAAATAGTCCAATAAGCCCTCGAGTTTTAAAAAAGTTTATTGGTCTAATACGGCAACTTTATTTTCTCACTTTATTTTTTCTTTGAAAACCAATGATTTTAATTTCAGAACCATTTGACGAAGAGTCCTCTATCCTAGCTAGTCAGTAACTAATGTTTTGTGGAGGATTTTCGAGTTTAACTGCAATAGTCATAGAGAACACAAAACGTTCTTATGCAATTTTCTTGACTACAGTGGATATCTTTATTATATAAGAACTAATATCAATCCAAATCTTTCAAATAAGTTTTTTCCTCCTTGCCCCTCAAGGGGGAACACAACTGATTTGGATCTCTAAAATTTCTCCAAATCTTTTGAATCTTCTTCAAAATCCTCAAATTAGTTTTGTCCCCCTGGTGTTTATCGCACTAGCTCTTCACTTAAATGTACTAGATCGTTTTTTATTTGATAGAAGAGACCCTCATGAATTCTGAGTTATTAAATACTTTTACATATTTAGATAACATTTAGTTATTTGGAATCAGACATTATATTCGTTATAATCACAAAGATGATGTTTGTTTTTCAACAAAACGTATCCCACTTTATATCAAAGGATATATTGACGGAGAAAGGAAGAAAAGTCAATTAATTGACGATAATTTATCATCATTGTTTTCTACACTTGCAATCAGATTCTTCTCTAAGTTTTATCAAAATTGTTTGAATGAGTTGACTTTCCATTTTGATCTTTTTTTCGTCTTTTATCTCATATTTTCTTTCATGATATGTTTTTTAAAACATGAGTGCTGTTCGTGGACAGAATTTTTATTCTCCGTTTTGCACATCATGAAAACAAAAGCGTTTTATTATCATAGATATAACAGTATCAAATACACATTTACAAGGTTAATTACACAAAAGTCATGTTACGTGCATGTTCCGCTGCTTTTCGATTATTATTCAACTATACCATTACTCGTTTATCATCGATAGATGCCATAGCTGGCTCGATAAATGCTGTATGCGATAAATTTAGTGAACGTGAACAAGCGTTAGAAAATCAATAGTTCCTTAAAGGGATGGGAGTAAGCACCCCCAAATCTGGTCTCAAATTATGCCAGTTTGTAGAGTACGTTGAATACTATAGTTCAAGAAATTTCGGCGGTCCTGTGAATATTGGTGAAATTATGAATTTTTTGACGTTCGCCTTTGCTCAAACTTTTCCGTCTAACGGCTGATTTTCAATATCTCAAAAGTCATTCAGGAATAATGACAAAAATTTGGTTCAAGTATGTTTAGATGTACAATTATTCATAGTTATTATGTATGTTAAAAAGGAAGAAAAAATTTCTATCTAATAGACTTTTTACAGATTTTTTAAATAGATGATCAAAATCGTATGAAATTCGTAAAAAATTCATGGTATATACAACTTGGTGCGTTCTACAAAGTCATGACAAAAAACGGGGTGTCAATAAATGTGAACTTGGAATGAACAACAGCACAGATGAGCATCTTTCCAATACAAGAAAAATTGGAACACAGTCTACTGAAATGAAGATTTTAGGCTGAATCTCAGAGCCTGGAGATTTTCAGACATGCTGATTCCAGTGGCGATAGCAATCTGCTTTGGTTTTTTTGATAAAATTTGATAAAATCTCGAAATTCCTTCCTAATTTTTGTAAAAACACCACTATGATGACCTATCATTTTCACCAACAACTGTGCCAAGTCTAAAAGTTACAGAATCTGGAAGAGCTCGCTAAGCTCTTCAAAATGAATTACCAGGAATTTCTTCAAGAAGTTACGCTTTAATGGGTATTTGATTAAAATAAAAGATTAGAAAAAAATAATTTTGACGGAATTTGTGTTAAACTCTGAAAGCTTCAGAATATTAGTACATTGATCTGATCTACAAAACCAGTAAACTTCAGAACAATCTGTTTTTGAGAGGATCTGTTCTCAAAATAAAGTCAGTTAAGAACGGCTATCCGTCAGATCCCAAATATTCTAACTAATAGTTACATATACACCCTTTGTTCTATTTCAGTTAAAGCAAGACGCTTGCGTATCTTCACTAATCATAAATATTCTATTTTTTTTGTTTCAACAACTTTCCCGCCACCATAGAGAATGTCTGCATGTAAGAGTCTAAAGTTTTTCTAGTTTATTGGATTTGTGAACCCATCAGAAGAGAAAGTCAAGGGATTTATTTGAAGTTAGTGCCCTTCCATTGGAAAACACATACGGTTTTCAAGCATGAACGATTCTACTACTTTTGTGTGAGACTATGTTTCGTCTTCATTCGCATTCTATTGCCTCCTGTCATAGTGTGCACAGATTTCCCTAAGCTGGGGAAAATGCGGAAAACTCACGATTTCTGTTATGAAACGATAGTTTTTCAATAAAAAGAGTATTTAAAACGTAAGTAAAAAGAGTATTTTTTCAATCAAGTACTGCAAGAAGTAAATAAAAAACTTCTCAAAAATGACAAAGAATTTTGAGAAAAATTTTACGTGAGATGTGCATTTTATTTTGTTAATATATGTTGCCTGGCTTTTTACATTTTTGGGTAGAAAAAACTGTATTTTCTTGGAAAATATAGTCTTTTAAGACCACATTGTGTACTATAGTACACAGTCTATTGGAGTTTATCGCAATACTTTTGCTTTTGGAGATAAAGATCACACGTATAACGATAGTACTTTTATCAGGATAAAGTCCGATAAATACTAATCGCGGTTTATTGACATACTGGTATTTACAACGCCAAATTACTTGTATACCGCGATAGTTTTGCTTACTGCGTTTTATCGAGAGACTGCGATAAACTGCACTCACTTTTATATCGAGACAGAGTTGCTCATTATCGCGATATTTCAGCACATTTAGCATAATATCTCGATATATCGCAAGTTTTCAACAA